ACTCTACACCAACTTGCTGACATAAACACACAAAGTAAGCAAAGACAATGACAACTGAAGTATAACAACATGCAGAAAAACTGGCTCATAGCTATATGGTTGGTCATAGCTTAAAGTATCAATTGTGTTCACAAAAGCAAAAACGTATTCATCGAGGACTATGAATTAGTCAGTCATTCTTAGGAGTTTAAGCAGCTCAGAAAGAAAACATTTTTTTATATCATGCAGATCAAGTCAATACAGCTGTAAAGGTTAATGGAAGTTCCTTTCATTATATGATGGAATTGATCATGAATTGCCTTTTGTGTATTATTTCCATAGAAGTCAAAAAAACCTTAAAGAAAAATATTTTTTACTGTAAACTCTATCATTTTTGTGGTGCGAAGAAACAAAATATCTAAATAAATGTCCTATGTATATTTTAAAAACCCCCTCTTCCACAGGTTGCCAGCAGCCATTTTAAAGCTGTTAAGAAGTGTTTCGATTAATATTTTGAAGACTGAGAAACAAATGTTCATTCAAAAGTAGAAAGAGGAATTTTTATCAGTATGAAAAAAGTCAAACAATCTAACAAATAATAAACCAAGAAGTAAATTCTGTAAAGGGCATTTTGGTATTCCATGAATTGCACTGACCCTGATATAATGTATTTTCCCTATAAGGACATCTTTTGATAGTCATTTGCTGCACAGCAGTCAATCAAAATGCTACCCTAGTACCTCTGGTTTTGCCATGCTCATACTTAGTACAAGGCTTAACAACAGTCACAAACCCTGTCTTGTCCTTATCTACAGCATCTCCCTAATCACAAGTACTTGTGCTTGTGCAGGTCAATAAAGTGGATTCTCCTCCATGTCCAAAAATCTTTTGAAGCTCAAATAAACGGAACCAAGACTCCACCAGCACCTTTTGAATCTTTCCAACCACTGCCTATGAGAATTCCATGCCAGACACCAAGATCAGTCAAAGCTCACTCAGGCAATTAAGCACCCATTCACACATTCACAGCAACTGCAGATTTTATACCTTTTTTTCCTTCTCTTCTCTTTGTAACAATTCCTTCTTCTTCCACAGTTTCTCTTTCTCTTCTTCCTTTTCTCTTCTTCTGACAGAAATTTCCATTTCCAGTCTTGCTACCTCTTCCTGATGGGCTCGCCATTTAAGAACCTGAAATAAATAGAAATTCATTACAGTGAATGTACACACTCAAGTGATTTCATAGATCACAGTGAGAATAGGTTCTGTATCAAGCAGCTGTCAAAGATTTTCCACATACACATTAAAATTCTGCATGCACATGACTGTGTGATATGTTTGTGATGTGTGCAACAGATGTATCTGTGTTAGGAGAAAAGCATTGAAAAGGAAAAAGTGTTGAAAGAAAAAAAAAAACTTGAAAATCACCTTATTCAGAGATTCTTCACTTGGATTCCTCGAGTGAAATCCTAAAGGGACTGTGAACTGATTTCAAAGGATCTGTGAATTCTCACAAATACTGTGTAAAAGTTTTTGTGTTTTTGTACAGGCATGTTTTTCTGGAACAACAGTTCCAGTTTCTGGTCAACAGTTTTCAAATTTTTCCCAATGATCCTAAGTTCCTAAAATCAGTGGTTTAAGAATCTCTGATATAGTTCATCCTGACTTTATAAAACGAGCCTGAATGAAGATGAAAAAAAAAGTAAAGACATTTAAAAGAACTTTCTGAGTACTGAGAGGTATTACTGGTAGAAGTATAATTGGTACAGCAGTTTAGAGGACACTGGGCAATAAGTAAATATGTATAACACTATGAAATATGCATAGTATTTGACCCACAACCCCACTTTGGGGAAGTTATTCAAAGAAGATAATCAACTGGACAAGTGCACAAAAATGTACCCAAGGGAATCTTCACTGCCATGCTGCTTAAACAGAAAAAAATTGGAAAAGAGTCTAAATGTTTGGCAGCAGGAGATGACTTAAATTAATTATGGTACCTCCATACAATGACTGTCATCAAAAAGGATCTATATTTCCATATTCACCAACACAGAAAATGTTCACACTGTATTATTAGATGCAAAATAGCAGGTGTAAAACCACATTTATAGTATGATCTCATTAATATAAAATATCATCTGTGTACTGCACATTGAAAGCGATTTAGAAGGAGGTTTACTGAAACAATAACATTGTTTATCTCTGAATAATATCATTTCATGGGATATAAAAAATTCATTTTTAAGAATTTTTGTGCAGATTGATATTTTTACAATAAATATGCACTATCTCTGTAAGCAGTTAAACCAATGAAACTGACAAAATAAAAACATATCTTTATATGTTCCATGTAGACATGTAGCTAACAAAGCACAGAGGAGAGAGATGGCGGGATATGAAGAATTCTTTTTAGAAAAGGACGAAACTAGCATTCTCAATTTGATGCCTCATTGTCTTATATATTTGATATAAGCTTGACTCATTATAGTACTGTATAAAATGAAAACTGAATATTTAAAATATCCTTAAAATATGATGAATTGATTAGTTAAGTTCTTTTTGCACTTTTATTATTCAAACTTTGTTTTCTAAAATATTTATCAAAATAACCAAGGAAATTCAGATTCTTGGTTTTCAAACATACTTAGGCTTCCCCATCTGCTCCTTGTCTTGGCCATATTTACCTTCTTCTTTGGAATTCCATTCCTAGAATAAGATCATCTGTGCCTTCTGTCCCAATCTTCAGTTTCCAAAATGTTCCTTCCTGTAACCCAACTTCAATCTATAATACACTATATTAAAATCGTGTCCTATCAAGTGTTGCCAGCAATCGCCCTCCTGACTACCCAAAAGATAGTTCTCAGTCCCCCTTTCCTTAACCTCACGTTAGTTCTTAACCCTGTCGACCATCTCTTCACGTTTAAAACTCTTTCCTTCCTAGGCCATACACCGTTCTCTCCCGCTTCTCCACCTGCGGATACTACTCTCTTCCCCCAGCTTCCTGTGCCCACCCTATACCCCTAACCCAACTGTTATCCTTTCTCTTCAACCTCTCTGCCTCTCTCTGTTCATTATTTGATGTGCTCGTCCTCTCGTATGAGTTAGCCTATCACTTCTGTTGGTCTGTCTCTAAAATGTACAGTATCAGCTCGGTATTTCTGTTTGCAACCCCATCCTAACAAATGCTTCAAGGTTTTGCTGTATGTATGTGCACTCAAAACACAACATTTCCAAAATTAAACTCAGCATCTTTAACTATGCCACAGCCTCACATCAAGCCCTGTATATCTGCCCCTTTTTTCAAGCATCCTGGTTTGGTCTAAGAAACTACAAGTATCTCTGTAGTTTACATTTTTTTTGACTATGTACATCTATCAGTATGACTAATTCTTTTTTTATTGAAGTATATTTGGTTTACAAGGTTGTGTTGATTTCTGGTGTACAGCATAGTGATTCAGTTATATATATACATATATATATATATTCCTTTTCATATTCTTTTTTACTATAGGCTATTATAAGGTATTGAACATAGCTCCCCGTGCCATACAAGGATTTACCGTATGTGAACTTTTTAATCACGGCCATTCTTATTGGTGTGAGGTGACACCTATTGTAGTTTTGCTTTGTGTTTCTCTGATAATCAGCAATATTGAGCATGTTTTCATGGGCCTATTGGCCATTTGTATGTCTTCGTTGGAGAAATGTTTGTTTAGGTCTTCTGCCCATTTTTGGATTGGGTTTTTTTTTTGTTATTGAGTTGTAGGAGCTGTTCTGGAAATTAAGCTCATCAGTTACATCATTTGCAAACATTTTCTCCCATTCTGTAGACTGTCTTTTCATTTTATTTATAGTTTCTTTTGCTATGTAAAAGCTTGTAAGTTTAACTGGGTCCCATTTGTTTATTTTCACTTTTATTTCTATTGCCTGGGTAGACTGCCTTAGGAGAACACTGCTACCATTTATATCACAGAATGTTTTGCCTATGTTCTCTTCCAGGAGGCTTAAGGTGTCTTGTCTTACGTTTAAGTCTTTATGTCGTTTTGAGTTTATTTTTGTGTATGGTGTGAGGGAGTGTTCTAACTTCATTGATTTACACACAACTGTCCAGTTTTCCCAATACCGCTTGTCAAAGAGATTGTCTTTTCTCCATTGTATATTCTTGCCTCCTTTGTCAAAATTTGATTGACCATAGGTGAGTGGATTTATTTCTGGGCTCTCTATTCTGTTTCATTAATCCATATGTTTGTTTTTGTGCCAATACTATGCTGTTTTGATTACTGTGGCTCTGTAGTATTGTCTGAAGTCTGGGAGGGTTTTTCCACCAGCTTCACTCTTTTTCTTCAGTACTGCCTAGGAAATTCTTGGTCTTTTGTGATTCCATATAAATTTTAGGATCATTTGTTGTTCTGTGAAAAATATCCTGGGCAATTTGATAGGGGTCAGTCAATATGACTAATTCTTTAAATTTTACCTCTGACTTGGACAATCTTATATTTCTCAAGCTCAGATGAGCCTTTACTTAGGACAAATCAATTTCTAGACTACTGAATTTCCCTAGGCCACTTTGCTGTAATTCCCTAGTCCACCCAAAGTCTATGTGCCAAATGTAGTTAGAACAATTCTAGAACACTCATGGGGTGATGTCAAGTGCTCTGAATAGGACCTAAAAATTTAGCTTTCTGACATCCAACCAATGCCCCACTTTAACCTACCTAGTGTGTAATCTCTTGGTAGGTTTTTCTCTTGTGCCTTTTCTTGACCATTCTTGTTCTTAGCCTCATGTATGATCCAAACTATTCCCCCAACTGAAATCCCCTCAATTTACCCCTATTTCATAAAATGCTTCTTGGCCCAGCACATGTCCCACATCTTCCATGAAACAATCTCCAATCCACATTCATCTCCCTTTTCTTATTTCACTTATCATATCATAACTGCTTTCTAGTCATTTTGAGCATAAGTTTTTATTTAAAGCAGAGTCCATGATAATATAAGTATTTTATCTTCCCCTTGTACTGTCTAGCACTGTACTAGCACATCATAGGTGCTTAATTAAAAGCTCTCATTTAATTTACCAAAATAAATATTTTTAATGAAACATAATAAATGAAAACGAAAAGACAGCATTAGAGTATACCATTTTGCAACACCTAATGATATAATGAGTCCTTGTTCATGGTCATCAGTTGCTACTAAAAACTTCATTTAACAGCTGATAGGAAATGTTATAATGGATAGATCAGGCTGGCAACAGTTAAAAACACTGAATAATCTTAAACATTGAGAAACAATATCTGTAGAAAACAAGCAGACATTTTGACCTCCTGATGTAAGTATACATCATTCCCATGAGCTATGCTTGCCAAAAAATAAAAAAGAATATGATGAAATCTCTAGACCTGTCTGTCAGGTTACAGAAAATTCAGTCAATGGAGAAACATATTCAAGAACTCTATAGGAATAACATCAGCAAAACAAATCCGAAAAACTTTCAAGGATCTAACCTATTACAAGGAAAAAAGAAGAAAGGAGACATATGGATTAAAAGAGACTCAAGAAACATCAGCCAAATGCAATATGTAGCAATATTTGGTTTCTAATTTGAATAAGCCAAATATTTAAAAAATTATGAAACAATTAGAGATATTTCAATACTGATTAGTTAGTTGATGCTATTAAAGAAATACTGTTAAAGTCGTTAGCTATGATCACAGTATGGTTATGCTTTTTTAAAGAGTCCTTTTACTTTTAGAGGTATATACTGAAATACATATGGAAAGATATGATGTTTGGATTTGCTAGTGGGCATGTGCAATGGGCATGGGGAAGCAGGTAAGGGTATAGAAGAAACAAATTTGACTAATGCATTGATAATTGTTGAAGCTGAGTGATGATAGACTGTTGTATATGTTTAAATTTTTCCACACCAAAAATTTTGTAAAAACATAAAAATAAACCATAAAATATAGTGTACATCCAAAAAGACTTATATAATAAAATACTGTAGTCTCAAGATTCTCAGACAATGAGACTTGAGACGCACTGAACTAATAAAAAGAAAAATAGTATACATTCAGCCTTTCAGAGCACCATTTCTCAAAGTTTCAATAGAAAGAAGTTTGGGGTTTGGAGTTAACTCTTCTCATCTTTTGATTTAAGACTAATTTATGGGAATTATCATTGAA